GCAGGATTAAAAAATGGTTAACCTCTGGAGTCAGGTAGTGCTGGTTTGAATCTCATCTCTACCACTGATGAGTTGTGTGACCTTGAATAAGTTACTTGATTTATTTCACTTCAATGTGATTATCTGTAAAATGGTAACAATAGTACCTTCCTTGATCATTTAATATTACTATGAGCAAGTCACCCCAAAACTAATGGCTCAACACAGTGTTTTCTATTTAATCTCAGAAATCCATAAACCAGTAATTTGGGTCATGTGAGTTCTTCTGTCTCAGCCAGGCTCATTCGTACATCTAAGTTCAGTTTCTAGGTCAACTGGAAAATGACTGGTCCATGAGGGGCTTTATTTTCCATCATGCTAGTCTGGGCTTTTTCACATAGCAGCTGGCAAGGCTCCAGGATGGAATGGAAGCAGGCAAGACCTCTTGAGGCTTAGGCTCTGAATTAGCTCTAAGTCACTTCTACACATTCTATTGGTCAAAGCAAGTCACAAGGTCTTCTCATAATTGAGAAGTAGGAAGTAGAAGCAAAGTCACATTGCAATGGAGTATGCGTAGCAGGAGGGGTAGAGGATTGGAGCAATTTTTGCTATCTACTACACTCTCTGAAGGAGTTCTGGGTAGTGTAGTGATTATAAATTGGGCTGCTAACCTCAAGTTTGACTGTTCAAAACTACCAGCTGTTCTGTGGGAGAAAGATGAGGTTTTCTGCTCCCATAAAGATTTACAGCCTCAGAAACCCTGTGCAGGGTCACTATAAGTCAGAGCCGACTCCGTGGCACACAACAACAACATACTCTCTGAGGAGTCCTGGTGTGTCACTGTGGGATAAAGCACTGGATGGCAAGGTAGGTTTGAACCACAAGGTCAGTGGTTCAAACTCACCAGCCACTCCTTGGAAATCCTATTCAGCGTTGCTATGAGTCAGAACTGATTCCAAGGAACTTAACAACAACAACAACACCATTGTCTGAGAAGTCCTGGTGTGGTGCTGTGGATAAGCACTGGACTACAATGTTGTTTGAAATGCAGGATCAGAGGTTCAAACCTACCAACTACTCCCTGAAAACCCTTTACAGAGTTGCTATGAGTCAGACCGACTTGGTTCCAATCTTGGTCCTATTAGCTCAATTTTATTCCATCAGTAAAATGGAGTGATCTCTTCCTGTATCCCTCCAGTCCACAATGGTGGCACTTGTAAAGGTCAGGCCTCATAAAAGTGGCACTTACTAAGTAAGAGAAATGCAGGGGATGTCAGACTCTCATGTTTTTATTAATTTAGAGATAATTCATTAAGCTTAAACAGAAATTTCAAGAACCGGAAAGATAAAGTTTCAATGTGGCTGCCCCTTCGTGTTAGACAGCAAAGCACTTCTAGAACCGCTCTGAAAATAATCTTCAGCTCATCAAATCTTACAAAGTGGTGGTACTTAACAGCAGTACACCTAGAGTCACTGGATGCCTGGATCTCTGCCACCTTGAAGGCTGACACTATTGACCAGAGCAACTACGGCAACAATAGTTTTAGAATCTTCCTACTATACTTAGCTTAAATGCAGATTCAGTGATAAATAATTTTGATAATTATGTCAAAGTATGAAGACTGTTTGAATTAAATGACTATGGGATAATTATATTAAAAAAAAAAAAAAAAAAACTTGTCCAATGCTATGTAAATCCATCCTGCTCAGCGCTCTTGACTAGTCACATCCTTCCTGCCATCTTAAAAACAATAGTGGCAGGGATGCAAGCTGCAGACAGGGCTCAGCAGGACAGATCAAACAGAGATGCAATTTCTGTATGTTGAACAGTGAAATAGGAGAAAATTCAAATACTTACAACTGCTAAGTAGCTGGTATCTGATTGCTGCAAATTGAATCGTCTATAATGTTATTTATTATAAATAATGTCTTATCCTTTGTGAGTTCTACAATAATTTCAGTCAAAACCAGTGCAAGATATTGGAAGTGTGAAATTTATGTGTATATATAACTCTCTGTGTGTGTGTTTGTGTTTGTTTATGTGCATATGTATGCTAGTTCATGTACAGGTTATGAAAGGACTTTTATATAAATATTCTTTTTGAAAAATGACTTACCAAATGACCAAAATTGCCATTTGTTTCTGAATTTTTTAATATAACCAAATCATGTAACTTTAAAACCCAGAAGAAATCAGTCTTATTTACTTCATCTCAAGAGCTGTTTTATAATTGCAACTCTTCCTTTAACTCTCCCCTTTTCCTATCCACCTTAGTTGTTAAGTAAGCATTAAAATGATAGATCGTTTAAAAATGTAAAATGTGACTTTTATCTTGTTTGGAAGCAATAAATGCATAGTTATTGTAATTGTTGTTGTTGTTGTTAAGTGCTGTTGAGTCAGTCCCATAGCAACAGGGTTTCCAAGGGTGTAAATCCTTACGGGAGTAGAAAGCCTCATCTTTCTCCCGCGGAGCGGCTGGTAGTTTCGAACCGCTGACCTTAAGGTTTGCAGCCCGATTCGTAACCACTATGCTACCAGAGCTCCTTAGTTATTGTAATTAGTGGCCAATATATCCTATCAATATAAAAGGAAAGAAACTTGAAAAAGAGATATTTGAGGCCTACATAACATACTTAAAATGGGACAATGGCAATCATTTTAAGTGGCCAGTACTGTTATTAACCTTTGTTCTAAATCCTTCATTGGAAGCTAATAAAAGACGAGCATTCAAAGTGTATTATAAAAACTGTATTTGTAGGTTTGAAAGTTGATAATCACACCTTGTACTGGATGTCTTAAATTGCTAATGAAACAGGACTTTCCAAATAAATAGATAAGTGCTTTCTTACAGGGATACCATCTTCCTCTTCAGGACCCAAACAAGAGAAATTTTTTAAAGACCAAAATAAAATCCAAGCAAATAGTAGGGCCTGTCTATTCTCTTTCTCACCCCTACCCTAAGCAAAAAGAATGTTTGATTTCCCCCCATGTGTTGGGTTTTTCTATTATGATGATGACTATGAAAATGCAGCATCTCAGTCAGACATGAATAAAAAAGTCTTATTAGCAGATCATCTAGTTCCTGGATGAAGAAAGGCCTATGTAAAGAATAAATACTTCTGTATGATCCTTTTTCATCTTTTTAAAGAGTATATATGTAACACTCATGCTATTGTTTATCGCTTTAAATGGGGAATTCCCAATCTCTGAACCTCAGAATTTTCAGTTCCCCCCCTTCTTTAAACAGGTGTCTTTCCACATCTCAGAAACCAAAGAAAGAGGTAAAAGGACAGACACCGAGGGATGCCCTGATGTGGGTTTTCCGAAGTACACTAATCAGACCATATATAAATTCAAATGAATCATATTCAAAGTCTTAATTGCAAACTAAGTTCCATTTATCTGATGTCTCCCTTTCTTTCTTGTACATTTTATTCCAAGGAATGCCTTCCTTTTTTCTGTTCACTTCTTTCTTTCTTGGACACCTCCAATCCCCATTGACAAGGGAAATGCAGGGCTATAAATGTAAGGGCACAATACATCATGAGCTAAGTCTGGAGAACATGTCCTCTACCAAAATGCACATGAATCTCTGGTACAGCTAAAATTTCAGAAGCATGCTGGGGTCGGTTTTGCATGCTAAGCAAGGGTCAAGAATGTGAATTCAAAAAATGTGACTGTCCTTAGATATCAAATGGGCCTCAAAGGTGAAAGGTTACATATGTAAAATTGCTGCTGAATTTCCTAGTACTTGGATTTGGCCTCCTAACTGAAAGACACATCTGACAATATGCTAATCTCTCAATAAAATATACATCACTTCTGAACCTTTATCTGTTGAAAAGCTGACAGAGAAGTTCAGAGACAGTTGTTTAACCAGACAAAATGACAGAGAAAATGTATTTTCACACAAGATCATAAAGCTTGAATATTGTAGGAAAACAAATGTAAATCAAATGGCTGCCCCCTGATTCTATCTACCATCTCTACTGCCCCCACCCCCAATTTGTATAATTAGCCAATCGTCTCTAAGGTGAGGGTCAGACTCAAACCCCAAATACCAAGACACAATAAAGTGGTATGTTGGCATACTTTGGAATTAGATGGATTTTGCATTTCATAGAGGTGGGGGGAGCAGCATACAAATGTAGTGAAATCTGGAAACAACAGCATATATACAGGCACATAAAAAGTTTGCATATTGCACAGAGCGCTTAAAGATCATAAATCTATGCATGAGAAAGATGTAGTGGAAATTTTGGGGGGGATTAGAGTTTATTTTTGTCATCTCTGTGAGACAGCTACTCATTCATCCAGATCACAGCTAAGAAAAAAGCTGGTCACAGAAATTAGCAGTTTCAGCTCAGCAGCGAAGTCGCCAGCCTGTGAAGGCAGAGAGAAATTGACTAATTAGCAATGCGCACTAAAACTTGACGGTTCTTTATAGAGAGAGAGAAGAGAGAGGGAGAGAGAGGGAGAGGGAGGTAGGGGGGGCTCGCTTTTTCCCCTTCTTTCTTCCAAAGATGTTTGAAATCGCAGTCATTTACGCTCGACAATTTTTACAATAGCCTTGAGCCATAATTTTGCGAGTCTCTCCAGCATCCATCCCCCTGTATGGTCTCTCTCTACTGGCCAAGCACGACCGTTTCTCTCCCCAACCGTGGATTTCCTATTACTCTCGTTACGACTCACTGAGCCCCAGGCCCAAGGATAATGATGTGTTGTTTCTTGGTAGCATAATTTGTCACACGTACATTTTTTCTTCTTCTTCTCTTGCAGAAAGCTCTGCTCCCTCTCTTTCTCCCTCTCTCTCTCTCCCTCTCTCTTTCTCTTTTCTTCCTCTCCTACATTTTCTTGCTGTTGCTAATTCATGGTGATCAAATGATGTACGACAAAATAAATTGTAAAGAGTGACTGCCTGGAGTTGGGAACCAGAAGGTGCCCCCCCACCCCCAAGGAGAGAGCAAACCTTTAAAAAGGAAGGACAATTGATTTAGGGGGGGAGCTTAAGTGAGCGTTGACTTTGCATCTGGTTGAGAGCAGGTAAGTTTCTGGCCTTGTGTCTGCCTGTGTGTATTTGTTCTGTCTTTTGGGTTGTTGTTGTCGAGGGAAGGGACGGGGAGGGAGTCTTTCAGAGGGATGGGGGGGGGGGTAGTTCTGTGGCAAATGCTTATAAAGAATGAAACTCTCATGGCAAGAAATAAGCAGATGAGGGGGACAGGCAAAGAAGAACAAGAAGGGAGGGGAACAGGATAAGATGGGGATAGGGGAGAGACAACGAAGCGGGGAGAACGAGAGAGAGGTATGACCGGGTCCACTTAAATGGAGAGACTCAGATGTTTCAGCAAAGCAAGAGCTTTGGGGGCATTGGGGGGAGGGGGGAGTGTCGAGGGAGGGAGCACGAGGGAGGCTAGGGTCCACCTGGAACGGGATGGTAAAGTGAGTAGAGAGAAGCCGGGTCCGGTATAAATTGGAAGCCGGCGAATTGGAAGCCGGCGATCCAGGACTGGCGCCAGGCAGGGCAGAGTGAGCCGCAGTGGAAGGGGCAGGTCCGGCGGGATCCTCCGAGTCGGGCGGCGGCGGCGGCGGTTCACCCAGGCGGGCGCGCGGACGGGCGGGCTGGAGGGCGGAATGTGGACTGAGGGTCCTTTGCTGCTCAGCCCTGGAAGGTGCAATTATAGGTTAAGGACCGGGCGTATCGATCGTGCTTCGCCTCCCCCACCCAGTCCTCCTCTGCTTAGATGCGGGCGACTGAGACTTTTTACAGAAGTAGTTCCAAGGCCGGGGAGTGCGGAGGGGGGAGGGGTGCCCGAGTTGGGGGTGTCCGAGTGGGGGACTGTGGGGTGCTGTACCGTGAGGCTCGGAAGGAAACTGCGGCTAAGGGCGATAAGGGTGGGTGGGACGCAGAGGCCCCTCACCGAACTGCCCCCCCCCATTGGACAGTCCCCATCCCTTCCCCCAACACCTGCCTTCTAACTTGAACTTCTCATAGTTACTACAGTTAAAGCGACTGCGCCTGGTGCCCGGGAGGAAGATCTGGCCACAGGAATCCCTCCAGGCCTCCTGGCTCTTGCTCAAAACCCACCGCAACAGCCCCACTCGCTACCTCCTCCTCTCTCTCGTCCCTCTCGGTGCCGCCCCGCCATGGAAGGGGAGAGACCTGTCTGAACTTTGGTTCTTAGAAATTCGGGGGGCGGGGGTCAGGGGCGGGGAGTGGTGGCTAAAGGAATTCTCCTACCAGGTAGAGAGGCGTCTCTGGAAAATTAGCAGAGCTGAGTGGTGAAGGGGAAGCCGACAGTTTGCGAAGCAGGGAAGCGGGCAGGGCCGGGGTGAGGGAAATGAGCTAGAATTGATAAGGACAGCTCCCGCCTCTGCCGAGTCCACTGAGCGGGTCCTCACCGCGCTCCGCTGCACTTTCCCGAGAGAAGAAAGGGCTTTATCTCCTCCCTCAGACTATTAGCCTAGGAGTTTCTCGGGGCAGCACAAATAATCGAAGGGTTTCCCAGCTTTGAGAGGGCTAAGAAGCTCCTATTCGCGCGCTTGTCGGGCCCCCTTTCCAATCCCCAACCCCCAAACTGGGCCAACTGCGAGAAGCAAAGCTTCGGGCACAAGTTGACCTGGAACCTGCGCCGTCGGTCACCTCTGCATTTTTGGGGCACCCCAAGCTCCTCATTCCCCGGCCTTTCCCTTCATCCGGCCAGGCATGGACACAAACCCAAGAGGTGTTTTGGCCTCAGCAGCCACTTTGCCAACGCTGCTGCCACTGCTGTCGCTGCCAAGATCCGAGCCCCGGTGGCTTTAGGAAAGTGAGGGACGAAGTGTGTGGGGAGTAGAGATAGGAGTAGCGGGAGCAGAGCGGGTGTCCAGACCCCAGACCGGGCCCTTTTGGTGGCGCTCAAGGACCCAACGCCGGCAGATCTTCCTCCTAGGGTCGGGGTCTGGAGGCGCGCTAGGCGAGAGACAAGCTGAGCCTTGACTGTTGTTCTTCGCCTCCCCTCCCCTCCACACCCTTCCCCACCCCGACCACACCCCACCCCCTCCACCACCCTTCTCCCCTCCCTTCCATCCCCCACCCCTGTCTGCCAGGTTGGAGGAGGGTTTAAAGCCAGGTGCGCGGAGTCAGCTCGCCATGTCCAGATCCGGGGACAGGACCTCCACCTTCGACCCCAGCCACAGCGACAACCTGCTGCACGGCCTCAACCTGCTGTGGAGGAAGCAGCTGTTTTGCGACGTGACCCTGACGGCCCAGGGCCAGCAATTCCACTGCCACAAGGCCGTGCTGGCCTCCTGTTCCCAGTACTTCCGATCGCTCTTCTCCAGCCACCCCCCTCTCGGGGGAGGGGTCGGCGGTCAGGACGGCCTGGGGGCCCCCAAGGACCAGCAGCAGCCACCGCAGCAGCAACAGCCACAACAGCAGCCGCCGCCGCCGCCGCAGGAGGATCCCGGGACGCCTTCCTCCTCCCCCGACGACAAGCTGCTGACCAGTCCCCGGGCCATCAACAACCTGGTGCTGCAAGGTTGCTCGTCCATAGGACTGCGGCTAGTGCTCGAGTACCTCTACACGGCCAATGTGACCCTCTCCCTAGACACAGTGGAGGAGGTGTTGTCGGTCAGCAAGATCTTGCACATCCCCCAGGTCACCAAGCTCTGCGTGCAGTTCCTCAACGACCAGATCTCGGTGCAGAACTACAAGCAGGTGTGCAAGATTGCCGCGCTGCACGGCCTGGAGGAGACCAAGAAGCTGGCCAACAAGTACCTGGTGGAGGATGTGCTGCTGCTTAACTTCGAAGAGATGCGCGCCCTGCTGGACTCGCTGCCGCCCCCCGTGGAGTCGGAGCTGGCGCTTTTCCAGATGTCCGTGTTGTGGCTGGAGCACGACCGCGAGACCCGCATGCAGTACGCGCCTGACCTCATGAAGCGCCTCCGCTTCGCGCTCATCCCAGCCCCAGAGCTGGTGGAGCGGGTCCAGTCAGTGGATTTCATGCGCACCGACCCGGTCTGTCAGAAGCTGCTGCTGGACGCCATGAACTACCACCTGATGCCCTTCAGGCAGCACTGCCGGCAGAGCCTGGCCAGCAGGTAGGAGACAACAAAGAAGAGGGCGGGGGTGGGGGTGCGGGTGAGTCCGAGCGGCCAGAGGGAGGGGAGAGGACAGAGAGGAGGGGGCAGACTAGTGGGTTGGGAGGGCGACTCTTTCAGGCTGAAAACGCAAACCAACAATTAAGATAGTGTGAAGAAAGTTGATTTCAGGGTTTCTGAAAGGTTGATGGGAACCTGGCCTAACGGTATCCCTGAGCGCTGGAAATTCTAGGTTCTAATATCCCCAGAGCGGGAAAAGATGGAATTGGAGGCTCCTCCATGGAAATAGACAGGCAGATGGGGCCAGAGGCTGGGGCAGTTAGAAGTGGTACCAGGACAGAGCTTTTGGAAACCTCTCTAAGCCAGCCCTCCCTCCAAATCTCAAGATGAGAAATCCCCACCCCATCCCTTCCGCTTTCCAGCCTTGAGCGAGCAGAAGTGAGAGGTGTGTTTACAGGAGAGTTTTCATGATGTCTTCTCGCCTTTCTTTTTTTCTCCTTGTCTTCTCTTTTCACCTCTCTCTCTCCTCCTCTCCTCTTTTTTTTTTTTTTTTTTCTTCTTCTTCTCTTTTCTCTCTCTCTCTTTGCTGACTGGAGTAAACCTTTTCCAGGTTACAGTTCCAAAACTGCTTTGTTTATCAGTACCACTGTTGGAAATGTGGGGGCATTATATGTTTGGGCAAACTTTTCAATCTTGTGGAAAGACTTCCTTTTTCACTTTTAAAAGAAAGCCAAAGCAAGAGGTTTTAAAGTGTCAGAGTGAATCTTGCCTAGTGACTTTAGACCCTACTGGGGCTCAGTTGAAAATTGGGGGTGTGGGAGGAGAGAGTCATATGGTTGAAGTTAGGTCTGAGCACAGCTCAGGAGTCACACTGAAGCTGTTTGTTGTTATTTAGAATCTGTGTTTCTCTGACTGATGCAAATAAGATTTCATGTCCAAAGAGAGAGAAAAATGGTATCTTTAAAGTGCTGCTGAGATTAAAAAGCTGTAAGAAATGACAATCGTGTTTTATTGGTTGCCATATAAAAACCCTTTTAAATGAGTCTGAGCAAAGCATTTCTTTCTCTTTCTAGAAAAAAAAAAAAAATAGTATGTGCTCAGTTTCTCATTTTAATATGCCATGATTCCAGATGCCAGGCTACCCCAGCCTACTGGACTTAACATGTTGCATGAGACGAAGTACATGGTTTGAACATCTATCTTGTTATTTTCTCACCTAGAATGATGTCTAAAGAGTGAGATCCATTCTGTGTGGCCTTTTGGAAGTAAATGTGTATTTTTTTGATCATGATGTTTCTACATGCCCTAGATAACTAAAGTTTTAGGAAAAAGAAGCTGTTTTGTTCTGTTGTTCAGGCAGGGCTGGTATTAAGGTAAGGCCCACAGGAGAGCCTTGAACTTACACACCTTGGAAGCTGATTTTTCTGATGTCTGTGGGAGAAGAGGCAATGAGTTCTGGCATCAAAATATGACTGTAAGACAATAGCATAGGCATCCAAACCCATGTATGCTTGAATAATGAGTACATAGTCCAAGTGAGTCCAAGAACGTGGGTTGCATTTTAAAGATCAAAATGGCAAACTGAGTATGATGACTGAACATTGCCACACCAGTGGGCATTAGTAATTAGTATTCTGATCTTATTTTAACTTTTATTATTGTAAAATGGCCTTTAGGTATACTTAACTTAGCATATATCCCACCTACTCTAGAATTGAGACAACATGGGTACAGACCTGAGCATATGCTTAATAATAGTCTAAAAATATGTAAAACTTAGTGTGTGTTCAGAAACACAGAGGGATAAGAAAAAGAAGATCTAACTTATTCTGAGTCATTTTGAATGATATGCATCATGAATTTAATCCAGTAAATAATTTCTGAAGTTCTCAGTGCACTTTTATCTCATAAAATATGTCCTGGGATTCAATGTTAGAAGAGTTGACTTTCAAAATGCAAAATCCATTTCTTACCTTAGTCTCGATTCAGAACACCAGCTGGGGCCTGCTGGCTGTGTCCTGGTGGATGGCTGAGATACCAGGCTGCCTGGCTCCGAGACGACACCTTCCAGCTCCACTGGGCCATATCATTTGAGGGATATGTAGTGGTGTCTGACCACTGAATGCTTACAAGTGTCATGGATGCTGCAAGAATCTGATACTTCTCTGGTATGAAGGAAACTGTATTTTCCTTTAAAAGAGGAAGGCTCAGAAGAGAAAATAGTTCCTGTGAACCTATTGTTGATCTCAAAATGACATAATTTAGATCTTCATCCATTAGTAGCAACAAAATCTTACTGATTTTTAGTTACTAACTCTAGTACTAATTTTAATTAACAGAAAATTACCACATGTTAACTTTAAAGTAAACAAAAATCCTGTAAATTGCAATCAATAGAATTGTATCAGCCCATTTATCATAGCATCAGTATAATATAAAAATGTTCTTTCGGCCTTATATGTACTTTTACAGGGGGATGAATTATTTATGTAATTAAATCACTTCTATTGACGGGAAGTGCAGAGTTTCTACTCTTTCTTATTTACCTATAGTTTTCAATACTCTAAATATGAGTTTCTTAAATTCAAAGAGTGAAATGAAAAATTTAAATTGACCAGTATATTAAAATAAATATCACATATAAACAAATAGAATGTTTCAAATAAAGATGTACTTAAGATTATGTGTTTTCTATATAATATAACATGATACAATAGTGCTTCATATGTGTTTTTAAATATTATTAAAGATTTTTAATTTATTAAGTTGTAAAGCTAAGCTCTCAAACTCTAAAACTATATAAAGTCAAATTAATTTTTAATCTTTGCTCTAGTTGCTTAGTTTTCCTGAATATACCCTTTGTACTCAGATTCATAATCTATTTTAACAACTAATCATTAGGCTAGTAAATAAAATAAGACAGTAGTTACCTTATATTCAAATGTATAGTTAAGTAATTTAGGATTGTAAGACTGGAGTTGGCAGAAATGAAAATATCTTGAAGGCTTAATTGTTGGTTTGCTTTTTGTTCTATTGCAACAAATGTAAAATTAAGAAAGAAATTATTGAAAAGATTTCTGAAAAGGTCATTATTAAAGATTCCTAAAGCCTATGAAAATATAATTTAATGAAGAGATGCAACGTGCAATATTTAGTATTTTAAAAAGTAAGTATCAGAAGACAGAGTCTAAATTTTGATTAAGTTACTCAAAAGTTCCTCTTTTATTTATCATTTTACTTTAATGGATAATTTAGTAATTATTCCCAGGTGAATAAAATTGGACTAGATTGATTTGCTTCTTTTTTATATGTCCATTGCACTGCACACAGTTAAATAAATGCCTGTTGAAAGTAGCTGAATTAATTAAGTTGATGACATCAGAGAGCCTCAGTTTGGGCGCTTCCCGGTTATGTTCCCTGCTCCCTAATCTATGCTACTGTTTCACATACCACTGAACCTTCACCAAAAAGAAGCATAGTTAGTAGGAAAGTATTTATGACAATAACAATTACTTTTTTACATTTAACCACCAGCTATCTCGGAAACCCTGTACAGGGTCGCTATGGGTCGGAACCGACTCGACGGACCATAACAACAACAACAGTATCTGGTAGCATAGTGGTTACAAATCGGGCTGCTAACCTCAGGGTCAGCAGTTCTAAACTACCACCTGTTCTGCGGGAGAAAGATGAGGCTTTCTGCTCCCATAATAATTTACAGTCTCGGAAACCCTGTACAGGGTCTCTCTGAGTCGGAACCGACTCCACGACACATAACAACAACAACAATATCATATTGAAGTGCAGCTTTCAAAAAAATTTTATTTTATAAAAGAGGTTACTTTACAAAGATTTCACTTTCTACAAAATATAGACTTTGAAAATCACATAAATTAATGTAAAATGTACTTCAACATTAGTACTAATGGCGTGTTTGCTATAATCACTTGGCAATGATTTTTTTTTTTTAATTAGATGCCCTAATATCCCTTCTTGATACAGTTTGAATCCTTGGTGTTGGTGATTAGACAGTATTTATTTAAATGTAAAACAATAGTTTCTATTTGTTCTCTTTCTGAGAATTTGATAACAACCTTAACAAAGCAAACTAATCTTGTATCCATGTAATCTCTAAATTGTTGCTTCCCTTTATATCAATTTGATACCCTCAGATTAGAAGTTATTAGGTAGTTAGATCTTGTATCCGAAGTTACTCAACCATTCAGAATACAATTTGTTTATTGTCTGAAACAGGACCATTGATTGCAAAATTATATCACAGGTATGGGAGTTGAATTGTTATATCCCACAATCAAAACGCAATTAGAGTAGGCATTAATGCATTGTATTGGCACTGAGGATTTACTGACACAATTAGAAATTTTCAAATTTTAATCCATGCTTGTATTTTCCCCATTTTTATGAATAGGTTGAGGTAAAGTCATTACCCTAGCAAATATCTAAGTACCATAATTTTCTTTACTTAAAAATAAAGTCAAAATGGGTTACCTTATTTACTGTTGTACAACTATATATATACATACTTCATATCAAGTGATCTAACCACTTTACCAATATTAAGTTATTCAGTTCTCAAAACAGCAGTTAAGTGGAGAACACCATCATTAACCTCATTTAATAAATGGGAAAACTGATACACTGAGAAGTTAAGCATTTTGCCCAAGTTTGCACATTTTGCTCAAGGTGGTAGAGACAAGGTCTGTGTTCTCCCCACTGCAGTATGCTTCTTCACTTTCTGAAAACCTCTCTATGTTGGTGGTGTTGTTACTAAGTGCCATGGAGTCGGTTCCGGCCCATAGTGACCCTGTACAGGGTTTCTGAAGAGCAGCTGATAAGCTTGAACTGTTGACCCTGTGGGTCAAACCAACTTTGTGGTCTAGCGCCGCACCAGGATTCCTGAGCCTCTCTATAATAGGTCATAATTTAATAGTTGATCTTGGAGTTATGTGTTAGGCTTAAGACATTCCTTTGGGAAAAAA